TCAGAGTTGTACTTATCTTTTCTTTTTTTGAAACAGCCTGGGAAGGATTGATGTTATTCTTCAAACATTTATTAGAACTCACTACTGAAATTATCTCATCCTTGGATAAATTGTGGGCAATTTAAAAAGTACTTGTTCAACCTACTTCCTTGTGCATCTGGTGAAGTTTGTTCTCCCTCATTTGAGCATATTCAGTGGCTTGTTTATTCTTAGGTACCTGCTCATCTCATGGAGATCATCTCACATTGATCATCATAGCCTTCTCTGCTTCTATATCTTAACAGAAATGGATGTTACAATTTTAATCATGTAAATCTTTTTTGTTGTGGTTCTTAGCCAGTGTATCTAAAAGTTTGGATTTAAGTTTTTTGTTTTTGTTTTTCTTTTCCAAAAACTTAAACTGTGACTTTGAACATTTTCATTACTGTTTTGTCTTTTCTTTTTCATTTTTTTTTTAAAAAGCTACTTTGGCATATTTTACTTAACTTTTCTTTTTTTATTGGATATTTTATTTATTTACATTTCCACTCCCTAGAACCCTCTTTCCTATACCCTTTCTTCCTTTATGCTTTTATACCATTTTGATTACATGCATGTATTAAGGTCAGTTCTAGGTTGAGGGTCTAGCAATACAATTGATGCAAATAGTCAAGGAATAAGCAATACAATAAACACAAATAGTCAAAGAAAAAGCAAGGCATTAAACACAGTTATGTGAACACTCCCATGATCACTGTTTCTAAAGGCTTATCAGGATAACCAAAGTATCTGAGCCTACTTCCCTATCCTAGCTGAAGGTCATTTACATGTCTGATGCCTACTTCCTTGTTCTAGCCTAGAATTAGATTCCTGTCTGAAATTACTTCTTTGTTCTAGCCTACTATTTAGTTTCCTGCCTGAGATTACTTCTTTGTTCTAGCCTACAATTTAGATTCCTACCTGAAATTACTTCTTTGTTCTAGTCTAATGTCAGATATCTGCTTGAAGCCTACTTCCTTGTCCTTGGCCAATGTCATATTCCTGCCAAGCAGCCCATTTCTTTGTCCTTGGCCCATGTCAGCTTCTTGCGAAGCAGCCCCAAAGGCTCTCCACAACTCCCCCTTTTTTATTTCATTAACAAGACTGAGCCTGTCTTAGGTCATTCTGACAAGAATGCCTTCCTTACCCATCATGGAATATGCATTATCAAAGGCAATACACCTATGTCTTAGGTTGGTAAGTCTCTGTGTAGAATCTTACCCGTCCTTGGCTTGCCTGTTAATTTAATAACTCTATTTTACATATTTATTCAGTTTGTATTTTGTTTTTCTTCATGATATAGGTTTGGTTTTGTTCTATTTCTTTGAGTATTTCAGATCAAGATGGTTAATATGTTTTTACTAAGCCTTTTACGTAAAAGGAAATATAATTCTCCCTAATATTCTTTGAGTTATAATAAAATGAGGCTGCAAGGTTTCTCAAGATTTCTCAAATGTTGAGATCAAGTAAACAGGCTCTCTGGACTTTCCTTTTCACTCTTCCTTTTCACCCTAATGGCCTCTAATTCCTTACATAAGTTCCAAAGCCAAGGTTTCATTGTTGCCTTTACCACTGCTATTTCCATCAGTATCTACTAATTCCACTTCAAAGAGGGCTTTCCATTAGGTGTATTTGGGTACTAGGCTGTTCATTTCCTTCTTATGTCTACTGTTCCCAGGCAGGAGAGCTTCAGTTGCATAGTCTCTTCCTTTTCTCCTGTGTATGGACTCTTCTTTCCTTGTCTGACTCTGTAGCACTGCATGTTTTTTTTATCTCTAAAGAATAATACAGCTATGCATATTCTCTCTGCCTCTCAGGAACCATTTTCTGCACCTTGTCTTCATCTGTTACAAAGTCTAGAGCTTTAGGAAGATGAGAGGTTATCACAGCAGAGTTCCTTCTGTTTGGATACATGCCTGTCACTGCTAAACTTTTCCTGGATATGTCCTGCATTTGAGTCAGTTGTCGAATGTTTCATATGTCAAGACTTTTCTGAATAGTTTTAGTAAAGGATTTGGTCTCTTTTTAATTACAACATTTTTAGACACACACACACACACACATACACACACACACACACACACACACACAAAGCCCAGGTTGGCCCCAACTCTTATAACAAATTTAAAATAGCATGCTTGCTACTGTAGAAAACACACATAAAACATAATAATGAATATGTATATATATATAAAATATATGCTTATGAATATATACAGATTTATAAACATATATACTATATATACATATATAATATACACACATGCATATATATATTTTTTTTTCCAGAGTGAGTAATGAAATATGGAGGGATACTTGAAACTTAAATTTTCATTCAACCTTTGCATTTTTGTATAGGAAAAACAGACATTTCACGGTGAGGCACGATGTGCAATGTATTTATTATTTATCAGACTACAAATCCCAGAGGACATCCCTTCTTGACAGTCTCATTTTCTATGCAAGATTGAGCAATGAGTAACTATAGGAGTCATGAAAGCGACTGTATAACCACCACAGCATTATTGAACAGTAGAGTAAGAGGAAGGTCCTACGAGACACAAGTTAGGTGAAGATGACCTTCTTCAGACATGAGGTTTCATTACTCTGTCTTCCCATGGTAAGAGGAAATCTAGACTATGAGTTACCTCCACCATCTTTTGTAAAGACAATAAACCAGTCAGAATTCTCCAGAGAAGATATGGTAGGAAAGGAATGGGGAGGAAGATAGAGGGGATAGAATAGAGAGGAGATATTTTCTTTTTCGAGAATTTGCTCAGGTGACTGAGGAGCCTTTGCTATTCATAAAGTGGAGACTCAAAGTGCTGGTAACATGGTTCAGTTCATGTTCTCACACTCAGATCCAGGAAAATGGATGTTGTTGCTCTTACCTGAAAACTCTGCAGTCTAAAGTCCTTGTGTGTCCTCAGCACTCTCAAGCTTAGGAGTGGAAGGAAGAGGATGCACCAGCTCTGAGAAGGAAAGAATGTGAGGGAAAGGAGAGGAGGGGAAGGGATGAGAAAAGAGGAAGAGGAAGAAAAGAGGAAGATAAGAAGGGAGGGAAAAAGAGAAGGAGAGAGAGGGAAAGAGATAGGAGAGGCAGGAAAGGAGAAAGGGAAGGAAACAAAGGTAGATCTGTTTCCTTCTGCCTTTTTGTTTTGTCTAGCCTTGAAGCATGTGAGAGGGTACCTACCTGTTCCAAATGTGCCTCCTTGAGCCAGACATTTCTGGAAATACTCTCACAGATGCACTCAGTAGTACCACTTTCCCAATGCCTTCTTATCTCATTTATTTTTTATTTTTATTTTTTTACCTATTTTTCCATTTTTAAGGTTGGATATTTACAGTCTTTTTGCCTCCCAACCCTCCCAAATACCTCTCCTTGCTGTTTTTCCAATTCATGGCCTCTTTTTTTATTACTCTTAAGTTAGATCCTTATTAAACATCGCAGTTATCCATTCTTCTGAGATCCCATGTTTACGACATAATTATCATTTCAAAAGTGCCACCTCTTAGTACCATTACTTGGAAGATGAGTTTCACAGTATTACTTTGGGGTTTCACATCCAGGAGGAGATGAAGTAAACTTAAGTGCATACTGTTAAGTGAAAGAAGCTGTGCCATGCTTTCTCCAAGTGTCCCTTCAGCCCTGGGACATTCTGACATAGATAAAGTCATAGAACACAAGAACATCAGTGCCCTTGAGGTTTGGCAGAGACAATAGAAGGTGATTCATTAGATTTAAATGGGTGAAATTGGTCTTCATGGTCTTATAAATGGTAGATATCCGATTTGGTGCATTATAAAATAAAACTACAGAACAAAGTGTGACCTGTCGTAGATGCTGGACTTGGTTGTTGGGTCAGTTACAGCAAGTTTGTCATGCTGGTGCCTGCTGCTCCCAATGGGAACACTATGACAAGGAGGACCACTAGATATGGACATTTGTCATGACCTTTGCAAATGAATCAATTAACTCTATTTTTCTACATTTTATATACTCAATACAAGTTTATGTACAATTGTTATAGTTAATTTGAATTATAAAATCTTCAACTAAAATTGTAAGGACTTGTCCATTATTTACAATAGCTTCGTTGTGGGAAGATTCTATGATAATCATTTGTTAGGCATATATTATGTGATAAATACGAAACTCAGCGGTAGACACACATATGTTCACACACACACACACACACCAATCCACGCATGTGCTGGGATCATGGGTTGGTACTGGGTGGGAGAAGAAACAGTTTTGCACTCTATTGGCTTTGTTTCCCTGATAGAGCCCTAGAAAATAAACTCAAAAAATCATATTTATTGCATATATATAAACAAGTTTTTCACAAAGAAAATTAATGTGGGGGGGGAGAGGAAGAGGCAGAGAGAGAGAGAGAGAGAGAGACAGAGACAGAGACAGAGACAGAAACAGAGAGAGACAGAGAGAGAAAGGTGGAGAAAATAAAGGCAGGGGGAAGGCCAGGAGAGAAGGAGGATCAATTGGAGGGTTAGAAGAATAAGGCTTATACATAGATTTTTTTTTTCAAAAGGAAAGGGGTTTGGAGCTTTTGGTGGGGGGATGAGTTTTGAAAAGGAGAGGTGTTTGGTAAGAAAATCTCTTCTCCTTATGATTCTAGGTGATTAGAGTAAGTCCCTGTAACTAGCATGTGCAGAGATGTCTTTTCAAGTAGGCATGTCCTTTACAAAGGGAAATGTTTATAAACTCATTATCTGGGGTGAGATCAGCAGCTTTCTCACAGTTTGCAGGTTTACAGTTACCTTTAAGTTAATAGCTCATGTGCAAAGATACATATTTTGTTGTGGCATTTTCTGATACCTTTCATTTGTCTTTAGGTGAAAGTATTTGTGCAAAATTAGTTAGCTGTAGGAATAGTGGGATTGATGAGCCAGCCATATTTAAGGGATAGTTTGATAATGCATTCCTGAAGACTTTTGTCAGCTTATTTTATTTATGTATGCAGAGATATGGTGGATCTGGCTTCTGCTGGCAAAGTGGGCATTCTTATTGGCTACTGTCCACAGCAGGATGCCTTGGATGAGCTCTTGACTGGCTGGGAACATCTTCAATACTACTGCAGACTCCGTGGGATTCCAAAGCAATACATTCCAGAGGTAAGCAATCTTGGGGTTTTCCAGAGGAAAAAGATCCACTGAGAAATGCTGGTCTAATCAGCTATAGCTCCAAGGCTGTTCTCTTGTCCCAGGATAAGAAGCCATGCCACCAGTTAGGTTCAAGGCAAAATTGTTTTCCAACATTACAATTTGTATTGGTATTCTATATTTTAAAATGTGTCAGTGGAGGAATCCTGTGCAAGGAGCTAAGTAAAAAAAATTCTCTCTTACTTTGTATCTCTAAGCTTTTTTCTTTTTCCTATTAATATGTGCTTTCTTGTCTAATGATTGTCGTTAGGAACAGAAACTGTAAAACTAGACACAGTATGTTTTTGAAACTTGGGAGTTATTGGAGAAGATGTCTTCTTTGGGAACAGGAAGAAATATTCCTTCCAAAATTGTTTTCTGAGTGGCTTTAGGAGAATGAAGGACAGTGAGAACTGTAAAACCTCTGAGGCCTCCCCATATGGTGTCTGAGAGTGATGGAGAGCAGATGAAGTAAGGGTCAGTGGATACTTACTGCTTCCCTTGATGGAAGGTGTGGACTGATCTGAGCTCCTAGCCTTGACAGACAGCTTAGAGAACATTTATAATAGGAATGTATCAGAATGGAAAATAGTTAAGGTACATTTTACCCTTTGTACACCTCTTTGTAGTATGTGAAGTGCTTGCTAGATTTCTGATTCTACAAATGGAGTAAGGAAAAAGGCAGTGGAGCTTATTATTGTATCCTCAATCAGAGTCTGTAGGAGTTGGAACATCTTAGGATTCACAATAGACTAGCCTCTGCCCTCACTGATCCATGACAGTTTATTCTGTGTTGTTTTTGTGATACTGTAGTCTTCGGTTTTGTTTGTTTGTTTCTACTCTATAACTTCAAAACCAGAATAGAAGCTCTCCCCTTCTTTGTTCAGACCCAGGACCCTTGATTGACCTACCACCCACCTTAAAGAACATGGCTAACTAACCACCCTGCAGGAGACCCACAAGCGTACGTACTCAAACAGCTCTTGGCATCCAACACTAATTGTTGGCTTAGTCTTTAATAGGCATTTTCTCTGTCAGCTCCCTCTTGTTAGTTTTTGATTGAAGAGGTAGATTCTTGGCAAGTGGCTATAAGCTGGCCTCTTTTGTCTGGATGAATGCACCTCTGAAAAGTCTCCCTTAATAAGACTCGGTGCTCTCTGTCATCCAGGCAATTGCCTTCAGATAGCCCACTGTCCTTCAGTCTGTGTTTTGAACTCCTCCACTGAGAAGTTACTTTAATGCTCAGCAATTAGGGACTAGCTTTATTTCTCTCATGAAGCTGTAGTGGATTATGCAGATGGTATTGCTACTTGTTCATGCAGCAGTTTCTGTTAGATCAGCACATCGTGTATGTATTCCTAAAGGACATAGTGCCTCTCCCAGCCAATTTCTCACTACTGTAAATTGTGTGAGCATTTGAAACATAGAATAAGCACAGGACTCCGAGGTGCTTATTATGGGGTATTAGTATTAAATAACATAAAATGATGACCTAATTAATGTAGTCATGAATCATATCTTAACATTTCATCTACCATGGATCTCATAATGGTAGGGATACAAAACTGTCATGAAATATCCCTGTAGCTTGATGACATCACACCCACTTTAACAACTGCATCACTGTATATCACTTGTGTAACAGTGGTGGTTGTAACAAGCCTCCACCTTCAGCTGTATCAAGGAATGCTGTATATAATGTTTGACTATTGCTGGTATATATATTTACTATACTGTAATGTGATTTTTGCTGTATAGATTTACTTCTGCTTATAAAAAATGGGTTATAGTAAGAGTATATACCCAGGAAACAGCCTCATGAACTATATATTTACCACAGCTCTTGATTCTATTGAGAAGTTACATCTATGTTCAGTGATTAACATCTACTACCCAGGATTGGAAGAGAGTTGTTTAAGGTTGACAGTGTGATCAAATGTCTGAAGTTTTACTTTTCAGAATGCATTCTGTCCTTAAATGATGCATGACTGTCTTTCTGTATGTCTGTCTCTTAACCTGAACAGTTAAGAGGTGTATGCCTGATTTTACAATTGGAGAATATGAAACCCAGAGTGTTCAGGTAACATGTATCCATAGCTCAGACTTTGATTTGATTGACATTATCCTGATGGTTGCTACCAGACTAGGACAAAATATCTTCTACCATCAATATCTCGGGATTCTTTTTGGAATTTCTGGTGTGTATGGTCAAGGAAGCAGAAACTGTATAGGGTGACTATAAGACTACTGTAGCCTGGCACTTTTCTTATTTACTTTCCATTGTGCTCCAGTAAATTGGGTCCAGTTCAATGCTGGAGCAATGGAAACAAAAGAGACACTTTCCCCTCCTTAAATATCTGACACTCAAACTGGTTCTCTTTTACAGACTTCTATCTTGTCTATGGAAGAATAAATACCTATGTTCTATGATTTCGGAAGACCCCGTGCTTGCTGAAGAGCCTTTTCTGCCTCTCCCTCACAGCACTAACTCCTTTTTCTCTCCAGCTGAAGCCTTGTTCTGGGTTCTGCCTGTACTCTATGGAACTGGATCTACCTATTTCAAGTTTGCTGATATCTTCTAGCTATGACATTGTCCTTTACACTTGTACCATCTTAAATACTCAGGCAACATACTCAGGGAAGAAAAGGCTACCCCTTCATTTGACTTGAGTCTAGGTTCTGCATGTTGAATGGCCAATTTCCAGTTTGTTGTTCACACTGTACAGTTTTGTGCAAAGGGTACATTTTAAGCTTGTAGTCAGCTAACCGGTTTGGTGAAACGTTTATCATCACATCATCACCCAGTGGCTCAAGAATGCAGTTATAATTGGAGATGCTAGAGAAGATATGTAAGAGAATTTTCTAGTATTTCCTGAGCTAATATATCCAAGCAAAACTTCTAATTGGGATGAAACCTGGTGAAATTTGCATTTGATTTTCTCTGTGATAGAAGTAGGCCCTTTCCTGGGCCTATCTTTGTAAATACCTAGTCAGTTCTCTAGAAATGCTTCTGAGTGTTGCTTTCAGCATCTTCTCTATAGATGTGACTTGCATCTTAAATTTCTTTTTTTCCATTTGTCAGGAGTTTTAAGAAGAGCCAAGTTTTGAGTGCAAGAGAATCACTAGGAGATCTCTGGCAGAGCAATGATCACAAGATGGCCTTCCCCTGGGAAATGCTTGGTTCTTTTTCCTACTCAGTGTCTCATTTTCATTGTGAATTTCACAGAACAGCTTTGATATGGGCATAACACCTGCAAATGGGCAGTTGTTGGCTCAGGAATCTGATGAGCATGCATGCTTTTCTGAATAATCTTTCTGTCTACTGGATATTCCCCAAAGTTTTTATGTGTGTTGAATGTGTTGTAGCCTGAGCAATGGAAATAACATTTCCCAATCTTCTGGTCTAAACACAGCACAATTTCTAGAGCTTTCAGAGAAAAAAAACAAAAACAAAAACTAAATCAAAACCAAAAAAAAAAAACAAAAACAAAAACTAAATCAAAACCAAAAAAAAAAAAACAAAAACAAAAATCAAAAACCCATGTATAAGATCTTGTAATTTATGACATTTTCTGATTGTGCAACAATAACAGTGACATTTTGTGGCTTATGATGTTTTGGGGTCTAGGTAGCACTTACTGGCCTTGATTTCTAGGACATTACTTTTGCCATTATTTTGATAGGGGTGCTAACTGCAGAAAAGATGGTGACAAGATGTTTCTCATTAGATCATTTTCAGTTATCTTCTGAAAGTGACATTCACAGAGCATTAGATCAGACATTTGTTCCTGCACATTCTGGGATCATTCCTGTGATTAACTGCTCTGGGATTTGTAGTGTGCACTATTTAACCTTTTGTAAAATCAGGAAAATATGACAACCATTTTCTGGTTTCATAAAAATAACCAACAGCATTTGGCAAATTTATTAGGAAAGTATTTACTCTGAGGTGCATTGCAACAAATCCAGGGCTCTTCATCATTATTTTTCTTTGTTTCTCCCTTTATTAACTTCTTTTCATTCCTCTTCTGAATAAAATGAATTTTCTTGCAATAAAAATTCATAACACATGTATATTTTGAACATTTTCATAACTCTGAAAAGATAACCAGAATTTACACTTTTCCTGTTGGTTTTTTCGAGTGTTTGTGTTTATCAAAAGGCATGAAATATCTGTGTAACCCCAGTGGTGCTCACTGAAGCAAAGGTTTCCTCTCCGAGGGAGCCTGCTTCCTCCCTCCATCTTGCATATGAACATCACCAGGGACATTGCTTCCATGTCTGCTTTGTGATTCCATGGACACCATGGGTTCTTTTTAATCCCTGCAGCATAGGCTTTCTGTTTTAACAGTCTTTGCTGCAGCACCCCAATTAGTTATTCACATTTGTCTTCTAATCCTGGATAAAATATTTTGAAGTTTTTATTTGCTCAGAAAGGCTTTTATTCAATTTATTTTAATTGGCATAATTGGCCTGAATGAATACAGCAAAAGGGATGTCTCCTGTGAGGCAGTCTGGAGAAAACGGCTTGAATGCTTTCATTGAGAACAAAGTACTAACCTTCAGATGGCTTTTTCTACTCAAGTTTTAATTTCTTTGTGCCTTCGTTTTTCTCCAGTCATACTGTTTGACCATGGACCAATACTTGTGCTGTCTAGCTCAATTTCTCAATTACCTGGAAGCCACACAATACAGACAGAATAATTTGTTTAAAGATGTTATTATCCAAAATGTTTTGAAGTTTGTAACATATCAATAGTTATCACATTATAGCCCTAAGTTTTATATGCTTGAAAAAAATGATGTATGTTAGCCTAACACTGTTTTAGTTAGTGCCTTAATATACATAATTGTCAGCTGTCACAATCATATGGAATTTGTCCTTCTAAACTTGAACTTATATATGTTTTTCACTAGTTTGGTTTTGAGATCATATCTGAAAAACAGACCTACCTTTATATATGCATTAATACCTCAATAATATAGATTTTGTCCCTTTTTTATTGGATGTTTTATTGTTTTATTTACATTTCATATGTCGTCCCCTTACCCCATCCCCCACCCACCTGGGAACCCCCTATCCCCTCACCCCTCCTCCTTCTTCTCTGCAGATGTAACCCCTACCTACCCCCCACTCCCACCTTCCCACCCTCAAAATTCCCACCCCCTGGGGCGTCCAGCCTTCATGAGGTCAAGGATCTCTTCTTCCACCTATGTCCAGCAGGACCCTCCACTCTTACATATTCTGCATCTGCCTCTGAATATGTCAGACTCTTGAAGACCTCTGAGGAGACATCCATATCAGGCTCTTATCAGCATGCACTTCCTGACTTCCACATCAGCATCTACCTTTGGTGACTGCACATGGGATGGATACTCAGGTGGAGTGGTCTTCAGATGGCCCCTCCTTCAGTTTCTGCCCCTCACTTTGTCTCCATATTTGCTCCCTTGAGTATTTTGTTGCTCCTTCTAAGAAGGACCGAATCATCCCCACTTGGTCTTCCTTCTTCATGAGCTTCATGTGGCCTGTGAGTTGCATCTTGGGCATTTCAAGGTTCTGGGCTAATATCCAATAATCAGTGAGTGAATACCATGTGTGTTCTTTTGTGATTGGGTTACCTCACTCAGGATGATATTTTCTAGTATTATCCATTTACCTAAGTATTTCTCAAATTCATTGTTTTTAATAGCTGAGTAATTCTCCATTGTGTAAATATACCACATTTTTTGAATCCATTCCTCAGTTGAAGGACATCTGGGTTCTTTCCAGCTCCTGGCTATTATAAATAAGGCTGCTATGAACATATTTGAGCATATGTCCTTGTTATATGTTCGAGCGTCTTCTGGGTATATGCCTAGGAGTGATATAGCTGGATCCTCAGGTAATGCTATGTCCAATTTTCTGAGGAACCGCCAGACTGATTTCCAAAGTGGTTGCATCATCTTGCAGTCCTACCAACAATGGAGGAGTGTTCCTCTTTCTCCTCACCCTCGCCAGCATCTACTATCACCTGAGTTTTTAATCTTAGCCATTCTGACTGGTGTGAGATGGAATCTCAGGGTTGTTTTGATTTGCATTTCCCTGATGACTAAGGATACTGAACATTTCTTTAGGTGCTTCTCGGCCATTTGAGTTTCCTCCGTTGAAAATTCTTTGTTAAGCTCTATACCCCATTTTTTAATAGGGTTATTTGGTTGTCTGGAGTCTAATTTCTTGAGTTCTTTGTATATATTGGATATTATCCCTCTATCAGATGTAGGATTGGTAAAGATCTTTTCCCAATTTGTTGGTTGTCGATTTGTCCTATTGACAGTGTCCTTTGCCTTACAGAAACTTTGAAATTTTATGAAGTCCCATTTGTCAATTCTTGATCTTAGAGCATATGCCATTGGTGTTCTGTTCAGGAACTTTTCCCCTGTGCCCAACTATTCAAGGCTCTTCCCCACCTTTTCTTCTATTAGTTTCAGTGTATCTGGTTTTATGTGGATGTCCTTTATCCACTTAGACTTGAGCTTTGTACAAGGAGATAAGAATGGATCAATTTTCATTCTTCTACTTGTTGCCCTCCAGTTGAACCAGCACCATTTGTTGAAAATGCTGTCCTTTTTCCACTGGACAGTTTTAGCTCCTTTGTCAAAGATCAAATCATAATTCATTCACACAGGGGTTATAAACACAGAAAGGCAGGATGTGGGGAAGGGGATGACACTGGAGTGTGGGTGATCAGGGGGAATACATATATCTTTCAGAACCGAGTATTGGCTGGGTGAAGGTTCAGGGGACAAGTCACTATGACTCTGCCTTTGACTCACTTGTCCTTATCTAAGTTGGTATTGTCTGCCAAGGCTATCTATTTACAAGATCTATGACTACTCAGGCTTGTAAATTTCCACAAAAGCTGCCTGTTTAAATACCTTATAGCCATCTGTTTCAATGTTTTTCCACTGAGACCCAAGACTTGGTGTTAGTATACATGTATGACAGGCCTATTGCTGATTTGAGGCCTATGGCTGATTTTAGGACTTCAGTGAAGGCCTAAAATAATATAGGTTTTTATCTACATAAGAATTCACATATATATATATGTATATATATACATATATATATATATTTACACAAAGAGATGGAAACAATCAAAAAATGTTTAACTTGGTTCCCATATAAGAGACATTTTGAAGATAAGAAATGGTTTAAGGCAAATTATCCTGGGGAAGATCAACTTAATTATAGTCTTAGAGACTCAGCTGGTGTGCATCAGAGAGAACTGAGATTTACATTAAAATTTAAGGGTAAGTGAGTTGTGAAGAGTGTGTGGTATGATTATGGAAAAAAGAGAAGTTGTGAGCCTGAGGGTGAGGGCTTCACTGCTAACCCTAGTGACTGAGGATGTATGAAGTTCTGGTGAATGAAGTCTCATCCTTATGAAGTGATCAGATAGTTTCCTACAGCTGCAAAGAGCTGGTTCCACCTTTTCCAAGCTAAATACTGTGTAAACTGAATTCTGAATGTATAGATGGTATCAATGGTCTACCGCAAGAAAGGCATATTTCTTAGTTGTGTTTATACAGACAATTCCCTCCAGTGCTATTTCCCTTGAGGTTTTGGTGCCTCATTTTGTTTCTTTTCTATCCAGCTCCTTCTCAGCCTTCCTTTGGGTCCTCTTTATTCTACTCACATGAATGTGGATATTAATCTAGACTCAGCATTAATTCAGAATCCTCAAATTTCCAAAACTGTGTTTGACCATTCTCAGTGTCCTCAGACACGGAACCCCCTTCTCACTGTTCTTTATCCATTGCTCCTTTTCTATAAAGTGAAATGGGGTGTGGAAGGCCTCTGGTCCTCTGGGTGAATGGAATACCAGCATTGTGGGAGAAAGCAGGAGTCAGAGGGCAACCCAGCTCACGTAGGCATCCTGGAGAAAGGTTCATGGACACGCTTCTCTGTTCCAGGTTGCTGCAGACCTGGTGAAGCGCCTGCACCTTGAATCTCATGTGGACAAGCCTGTGGCCACTTACAGTGGAGGCACCAGACGGAAGCTCTCCACAGCCCTCGCCCTGGTGGGAAAGCCTGATATTCTTTTATTGGTGAGTAGTTGGAATATCCACAATTGTGTTAATGCCTTAAACATGTGATAGAAATTATTCAGCTTTTAGAACTTCACCAGGAACTTTAGGACTTGAGACACTGATTACTGACTCTATGGGCTCCTGTAAATTAATATTCCCTAACATATGTTAGATAGTGGTGTTGTTTTACAAAAATTAGGCATTTTCTTTTGGTAGACTCACATAAAAATGTTGACATTAAATGAATGTTAAGATATTAGCATTCACCTTTTATCTAAACATGCATACCTGTTTTCATTTAACATTTATTTATTTTTAGTTCTTGTTTATTTATTTTTGAGATTATAATAAAATTACATTTCTGCTTTCCCTTTTGTCCCTCCAAAGCCTCCCGTATACCTCTCCCTACTCTCTTTCAAATCCATGGTCTCCTTTTCATTACTTATTATATCACATACATGTGTAAGTATCTACATATATATTTTTAAATATAATGTGACCTGTCTGTGTAATGTTACTCATATGTATATTTTCAGGGCTGAACTTTTGGTATTGGATGATCAATTGCTGTTCTCTTCCCTACAGAAGACTATTTCTTCTCACGAATTATTTGAAGTCCTATATATGGGCTTATATATACTATACCTGTAGTGATATATACACATGGTAAATCATGAGGATAGGCATTAGAATTTGCTGTGTTTAATTTAGCATCTGTTCAAATCCATGTGCTAACAGCCTCTTTCATAGCTCTTAGTGATATGAGAGGGAGTTGAATTTCTAAGATAGTAGGTCTCAATATTTTTAATGCTGTGACCTTTTTATATAGCCCCTAATGTTGTGGTAACTCCATCACAAGTTCTTTTGTTGCTATTTTATAACTGTAATTTTGCTACTGCTATGACTCATAATATAAATATTTAATATGCAGGATATCTGAAACTCCCAAAGAAGTCACGATCCACGTGTTGAGAACCATTGTTCTAAGAGATCTTATAGGAAGGTCTTTAGATCGTTGTAGGAGTGTTCTGGATAGGTAGGAAGACACTTGCTTCATTACTGGCCAAGAAGAGAAAGTATTGCTCAATTGCACATCCCTGCTGTGATGTACAGACTTGTCTTGATGTAGACAAGGGCCAGTCCTGGTTTAATCCTCTAAACTAAAGCCAGATAAAGTGAGCAATCTTTCCTTATATAAGTAAATTCTTTCATGTGTGGGTATAGTGATGGAAAGCTGTCTAATATATTCACACAGCATGGATACAGAGGAAGGCTGAGAGAGTTCTACCAAGTGACAGAACAGGAACTTGTCCTTGAGTTAAGGCAGCCTGTCATCTGTCTGGGAATAGTCAATTAGGTTACTGTAGCTAAGGAAAGGGGATTTTTTTTTTATCAATAAGCAGAGCCAATTGCTATGCATTTAAAAATTGGTCTAACTGTGCACAATCCTATTTAAATAAGTGAAGAACCTTGTTCCTATGCCATTGATAGGATTTTAATTGCCACAGTCCATCCAAAGTTTCACCATGGAAGACAGTTTCGGGAGCATTAAATGTCTTTTCATATTATTGCTTATATATGAAAATAGCTTTTCCTTGGGGAAGTCAATGAAGACCCAGAAGATATATGATAGAAAAAATGATTTTGTCATCTACTGGTTGGACTTATAAACTCTGTTTGCTCTTAGTTTGCTATTAAAAGGTCCAATACCAGAAAAGGTCCAATACCAATGCTATTTATTATAATGGATATATATATATATATATATATATATATATATATATATGGATATAAATATCTTTATATTTATCATTCTCTGTTCTACTCTGATGCTGTCCTATCAAGATGAGGCAGTGTTGAGTTTAGAGGTTCCTGGCATTCATCATCACTTCTATCTGGATAATCTCACATTCATTTATGCATGATATATTTCCTCATTCCCCTGACAATGCCTCTACTCTGGAGTCATTTCCTTGTCTTGTTGTATACCCAAGTGTCTCTTCTTTCACATATTCTCATTCTCATTCACTGTGAGAGCCCAAGACTCCAGCACAGTGGCCACGTGAGCAGGTTTAGAAGAGCTACTACACTTTCTTGGGGTGCACTTGCACATTTGATCGATTATCTCTTTGTCTCAAAGAAGTACTCTTCTTTGTGTCTGTCTCTTGGAGATGTTGAAAGCGGTAAATTAAATAATCCATATTAAGTGTGTCATCTGGTGTCCTGTGAGTTATTGTGATAATTCAAGTCAGCCGATTAAACCAATGCCTTGACATTTTCTACAGAGGCAAGAAGGACAATAACCAGAAAAGTTTTGAATCACCCATTCAGCCTCCTGCCTGAGCAATACCAGACCCCACTTTCTATTTTCTTACTTTTTATTCAATGCACATGTATCACTAAATTTACAGAAAAGACCAAGTGTTTGTTTTCCTGTTCAGTCTTCCTCATCCATTTGCCTTCTGCTTTCTTCTTTGAGGGAAGTTGATGGCCAGAAGCTCTTAAGAGATATATGCTTAATGCTCCCTCACTGCAAAAAGCAGAGACATGCATCACACAGCTGGGCAAGATTTCTCTTAAAAGTGGTTCTGATAACAAGTACTTGGGAGTTTATTGAAGAGGAAAGCTTCAGGTTCCAAGAAACTTCAATTTATTCGCTGTTCTTCAATAAATGATGTCCTTTCTAGTACCATAGATCTTTCTGGTGGAGGCCATTCTGAAAGTTTATGGAAGTAGAGGTTTCATTTTAAAAACGTCATGCTTTGCTTTCCTTACCACATTGCCAAGAGAAACCAAACTGGTATGAAAATGTCTCCCTTTCATGCAGTTTTATTGAAGTATCATAGTCTCAGACACACACACACATGCACAGGCACACGCACAAATACACAAACACCCTACCAAGCACTTTTGTATTGCTTAGGGCTATTTGCGTTTTGATAACTTATCAGGAAGTATGTCCCTGACAAAAACTAATTCTTCTTTCTCTGTAACCAATGATTGCTTTAGCTCTCCATGAAGATGTTGGATCTTATAGAATCTTCCCCTTCCATACTAATATCTAGAGTGCTAAGGTTGTTATATAAGCAATCACATTGTTAAGATTTCATGAGTGCGACTTCCCTGTATTTCTAAAAGACACTATATGACAGCAGGCATTCTGGTCTTCTTACCCTTATAATCTTTCTTCTCCTCTAACATGATGTCTCTGAGCCTTAGGTATAGGATGGATTGTATCAACTGGGGCTAGGTATCCCCTGGTTACTAATTCTCTACATTGTGACCAGTTATGGATCTCTGAACTAGTCTCCATCTGTTGCAAAAAGATGCTGAACATCTATCTGTTGAAAGATCAGAGTTATACTTATCTGTGACTATAAGGATAAATGTAGTGAGAATTTTGTTTTCCTTAAAAAACACAAAAAATATTATGGGTATATGTTTTTGTTTTAATCTCAGGTGTGAGGATATTGGGCTGCTTCATAGCAAATGCCAGTTATTTGCCTTGTGATCTAACAGGGTCATGAAATTACCAGCTGCAGATAGTTTATGAGAGTGTGTGATGTTTGGAATTCTGGGGACTTTTCAGAAGATATATAAATACTGGAGCCCCATCGAAGAAGCTGGTTGGCTGGTTGCTGGTTGCTGGTTGGGTGCTGTTGGTTGTGGTTTGTCAAATACTCCAGTGAAAAGAGATGAGAAGAAAAAAAAATAGATCAAACTTGCCCCAAGAAATTTGACTTCTCTAACCAGCAGGAAATAGTCTAACGTCATTACCCCTGTTTCCATCTATCCTTTTTTTCTCTCTCACATAGTGTTGGGGGGCTGAAAGGGAAGAAAAAGAGGGATAGAGAAGGATAGAAGTTTCAATACAGATTAATATGTAGAATAGAGCTAAAACTTATATTGGTATTAAAAAATGGAAGTAGCGGGTTCTCTTTTAGGTACTATGCTGTTTCTAACTATGAATCTTTGGATAGGTTTGCAATGGAAAGCCTGAATAAATACCTTAAGTATAATTAGACAGATAACAATGTCACTATTGTATCACTGGGAATATCTGATCAGGCTAGTTATTAATGAGGTCTCTACACTTAACATCTGGGTAAGACTGCTGATTGCTTTTGTTTCTTGATGACTTACACAGCACCTCCTGATACTTCAAGTGCTAGTCTTCAGGGAGGAGGCTTCAAGGGCAGTTCCATCTTGATTCCTCCCAGTCCTGCACAACATTTGTGTTGTCTTATTTTAAGTCCTAGGAGGCAAGCAAGTTTCTCATTGCCTGACCCTGATACTTTGCTAGATAGTTTATGTATCTTAGGGTAGCATGTCATCCCTTGTGTTATGTCCATTGAATAAAGGAGCATAAACATAAAATAATCTTCCTGCTGTCCTTTTCAAACATCATTAGCATTTCTTTCCCTCCTTCCTTTCTTCTCCTGCTGTAATCCCCAGTTCATATCCTGCCACCCGATGTATTTTTTCTGTGTACCTCACTTCAAAGTTCCTGTGTCTTTTATGCTTTCTCGAGAGCTTCTCATGTTTGATCCATGCATCTGATGTTGGGCACTTCCACACACTGACTGATGTAAGTACAGATTCAGTAGATGCATTAGCGCATGCTTACGTGCCACTATTTTCATCTCATTGTCTTTGGCTGTGTACACATGAGTGGACCTGCAGGCTGCCATGGTCATGTGATTTCACCCTTTATCATCAATCTGTTTTGACTGTTCTTATTTACCTTTGCTCCAGCAATAAGTAAGAGCACTCCTTTCCCCCCCACCCCCAGGAGTGCTTTTTACATCACTCATCTGTCATTTCCTCTTTCTACTGTGAGTGAATAATTTTAAATAGCCTCTGTATATGATTCTTTCATTGGCTGGATCCAATCTGCAGTAAATACTGTTACTCTTATCATTTTGCTTATTGATGTCCCTGCTTCAGAATTATCATCAGCTCCTTGTACCTCATTTCTGTCTTCTTTACAACCCCTGTTTTGTTCATGCATTGTTTTTCTTATTCTCTTGGCTTTCCTAGTTGTAATTATTTATATCTCACTGAGTTTTCTGAAGATGACAATCTCTAGTCTTCTCACCCACGACACCGTCCTTCATTATGCTAAGATTGTTACTTGAACATTACTGTGTGTATCTTGTGGCATCATAGCTGCATGGACTCAGTCCTTGCTGTCTCAGATCTGAAGCAGTCATCTCACAAGACTGTTTTAATAACTATTTGTTGTAGGAACACTTTATTAGTCAGTCAGGCGAATGATTCTGGGGCGAGTCTATATGTGCACATACAACCTTAGCTACTCCTGGAAGGTGTGTGTAAGTTTTTAAGGTGATATGTCTTTCCTCAGCCCACAGAAGTAGGGCAGGGCTGAGAGCTCTCTGTTTCTTTACTTGGGGGCAATTTCCCATATATTGATTCTTGTGTGTTTTCATTCTACAAAGACATGATGGATGTTTGTGAAGGTTTCTGTATTTGTTCTCCATGGGCATATCCTCAGGCACCCACTAAGGCAAAGAGCAATTGAGGCATACAGAGTATCTGGCCCTTACATACTGTTTAAAGGGGTTTAATGGAGGCCCTATAGCATAGAGGGTCTGGTCCTTAGTCGGTTCTTGCTGCTTTTAGTCTCAACAAATGTTTCCTAAGACCTCAGTAATTAAAGTATAATAAAAAGGATTGTAACTAGTTGCAATAATTAAGGTCTCTTGTATGGTCCTCTGCAGGAGGAGAGGAGAAAGCAACTCATATATGTCACTTCACTTCCTTCTTCATTGTGAAGGAACAAAGGAAAGCCACTAGAGAGTTCCCTGTTAGTATTGCAGTGGGGGTTTCCTTCTGACCAGAGTCTATTCTCATGGGACAGTAGATGTCAATTCCTGTCTGTGTTTACCAAATGACCAACCTTGTATGTTTTCTTCCTCTTAGGATGAACCCAGCTCTGGGATGGACCCTTGTTCTAAACGGTACCTCTGGCAAACAATAACAGAAGAGGTTCAAGATGGCTGTGCCGCCGTGCTAACCTCTCACAGGTGAACTGTCCCTTCAGATTGCTAGTTCCTGAACAAGGTTTAGTCTCAATGAGGTCACTTAGAGAATGGAACGGAAGAGCTTTCATTAGTCTTAAGTTCCAAGAGCCCTTTGGGAGATGGAGGCAGAGAGGTTATGTCAGGTGGCCATCCTCTATAGAGGGGGAGAATTAGAACTAGAAACTTCCTGTGATCTGTGTCCATAGATTCACCCTAGCTGTGATTGCTCAGGTGAGGTCTGGACTCTGTCCTTCTTAAGGACCTCCAACTTTCTACCCAAGGTCACCCTGTTCCCACTTGTTATTCATCTGAAATGCATGATCAAACTTTTAATGGATCTTATTACAGAATTACTTTTGTATTTGAAATTTTCGACCAGGGTCCCTCTCTCAGATTAATGAAACATGTATGTGCTATACAGCAATAAAAATGTAGATTTCATGTAATCATTACATGGAGAACAATAGCATTTGGCTAATAACAACCCTGAAGATGAAATGAAAAAGAGATTATAAGTTTTAGGCTTGATTTGCTTCCATGTATAGCTAAAATATGCTCTGAATGAGGTGTCAAGAATTGTTAAGATCTGAAATTTGACTTTTATGGGTATTTTATATTAATACAATTATATGACATGTATAGATTTATATTTGATCACTTTCATTTATAGAGTACATAATGTTTATCTAGATTACAGCATATTACAGTATATTTTTTCTTATCATTGCTGAATAGTGCATGAATAATCATGATTAATATTTTAAGAAATAGGACTGGCACTATAGCTCAGTGGATAAAAGCATTAGCTGGAGAAAGTCTGAAGACCCAAGCTTGATTCCCCAAATCCACAGCTGAAGGAGAAAAACAAATCCTAAAAGCTGTCTTCTGATCTCCATAAACATGCATGTACTTGTAGTTACACACAGACAACAACAACAAGAAGAACACACAGGCACACACAAATATAATAAATAAAAAACAAACATAAAGAGATTAACTGTGCACCCACACCCATAACATGTGATCACATTTATCACCACTTGTTTAGTGTAGGACATTTGCTATAGTAAGTAAACCCTCATAGACACACAATATCATCATCTGAATTCGTGCTTGTAGTGCCTTTTCTCTTAGTTTTGGGAATTCTGTGGCTTTGGAAAAATACTCAATGTCAAGATCCATCCTTAGCATCCTACATTGCCTGGAAAGTTCTCCTGGTCCCCTGTTTGCATTTCCTTTGCCTGACCTCTGGTAAGCAGACATTTTACTGCTTGTATAGTTGTACATTTTTCAGAAGTCACACATCTGGAATCCCATACCAGCCTTTCAAGGCTGGCTTCTTTCCTGATTTCCCTCACGTTTTTTCCCTGGTTTGCAACCCCATTGCCTTTCAACAGCAAGCAATGTTCTATTGTCTGGTTGTGCTGCAGTTTATTTATCTGCTCATGTACTGACAGATGCTTTGATTACTGACAAGTTTGGGTAATTATGGGTAAAGCTGTTATAAACATCCATGTGCAGGTTTTTATGTGGATGTTTTTCAGACCTTTTGAGTAAATGCCAAGTAGCTTGATTGTTGGACTGTGCAGTGAGCTGATGTTTGACTTGCAAAGAATCTCCTTTTTCCTTTGATGATAATACAAATTGAACCTAGAGCCTCACATATACTTGGCAAGTGTTTTACTACTGAACGATACCTCCATCCCTCATTTACCTTTTCTTTTGAGGCCACTCGGCCATAAATTGAGTTCCTCCTGTCTTAGCCTCCCAAGTCACTAGGATTATAGAGCTTCACCACAAGGCCCATAGCTTCAGTTCTTTCTTGTTATTTCTTTGTGAACTTGTATTATGCTATATTATTTAGTTAGAAGAGGTTAGACATAGTGAGTATTGTTAGATTCTGTGTTCAAGTCTCTTGCTTGGAGGCTCCACCTCCAACAAGCTGGGTCGCTTCTCCAGGTTCTTTCTTCCCCTACTGAAGTTTTGTTTCACTCACAAATGTTTCTCTGTCTCCTCTGTGATTGGCTCCTGATACATTTCTTTAGAAATGTTCTTACATTTTCAATATTTTTCAAAATTTTCCCAGTTTCTTTCTGTTGCTCTTTTTTAATTTAACTTGGTTAGCCTCGGCAAAAGGTTCTTTGTGATTCCTATTATTGAAAATTTTCAGGAAGCATGTGGATTACCTATAACAGGGAATGATAAAGGGAATATAGTCTATTTTTCCCTATTACCTTTTTATTGAAGAATGGACACATCATATGACATTGTATCTATAAATACTGAAAATAAATATGCAGTTATTACCACATTTTAATGTAATATTTGTCTATTTTGTTTCATTTTCTTCCCCTGAGACTCATTTCAAGACTAGATGGTTTCTACTGATGTGCAAATCCTCTGATTCTTCCCTCTTCCTTCTTGAAATTGGGTATAGGTTTCTGGTGAGTTCTTCAGTTCCTTTCCTGGCCTGCCCTCTCCGGCCCTATGTGGCCTGTTGATGAATCTGGGCAGGGAAATAGTGGCCCACAACTTGCAGTTACAGATTATCATTTTCTCACTGTGCAGTGGCTTTTTGGCATCGTCCTCACAGAGTCACATATATTCATGCTTTTGGTCCATTCCTGAAGTTCTGAAATGGCTGTTTTCTTAAATATATCCAGCTTTGTAGTTGGCTTTGGAAACATTTGATTATTTTCTCACTCAGATATAGCCAGAAGTACCACAGCTGAGTTTTTGTTTTTATTTTGTTTCTCTTCCCAATGGAAAAATTTGCTGAAACAAATACATTTGATAGTTATTTGACTTTATAATAATATGTACATATTCTTGCTTTAGATGTTTACTTTGCTCTGGAGTTTTAGCAATTTCCCACTGATGTTCTGACTCTGATTACATCTGTTGCTGGCACCAGGCTCGGGGCTTGACATCCAACCATGTGTCCTTAGATGGGAAAAATGATATAATGATGAAAACCTTTTTATTTCTCACCATATATATATTAAGCTATTCTCTCTCAAAAAGACCATAAATCATTGCGATATCTCTCTTACATTCTCCTATTCATTTGCTTTTACATCAATATTATATATTTGCATATATACAGATTGATTTCTCTTAGATTTCTCCCTATTTGCAGACTATAAAGACTCAATTGAATGAAGACAAGGGAGGCCTGTATGATTCTGTGATTTTTTATTAACCATTTACTTCTTTACATTTCAAATGATATCCCCTTTCTTGGTTACCCCTTCACACACCCTCAGTCCCATCCTCCCTTTCTCCTTTCCCTTTGCCTCGATGAGGGTGATCCTCCACCCACTCACACACTCCTATGCTCTAGAATATCTCTACACTGTGGCATCAAGCCTCTACAAGACCAAGGGCCTCCTCTCCCACTGATGTCAGATAAGGTCAATCTCTACTACATATGTATCTGGAGCCATGGTTCTCTCCATGTATACTCTTTGGTTGGTTGTTTAGTCTCTGGGAGCTCTTGGTGGCTCAGTTGATATTGTTCTTTGTGTGGGGTTGCAATCCCCTTCAGCTCCTTCTGTCCTTCCCCTAGCTCTTCCATGGGGGTACCCAGGCTCAGTCTGATTGTTATAAGTATCTGCATCTATACTGGTCATATAGAACCTATAGAGAACAGCCATACCAGGCGTCTGTTGGCAGACACTTCTTGGCATCAGCAGTAGTGTGGGGGCTTGGTGTCTGTAGATGGAATGAATCCCTAGATGGCCTTTCCTTTAGTCTCTGTTCCACTTTTTGTTCCCATCTTTCTTTTGGACAGCAATATTTCTGGGTTAACAATTTTGAGATGAGTGGGTGGCCCCATCCCTCAACTAGAGGCCATGCCTATCTACTGTAGGTGGTCTCTATAGGTTGTATCTCCTCTTTGTTGGGGATTTTGGCTAAAGTCATCACTTTAGTGTCTTGGGAGCCTCTTGTTTTCCTGGCATCTGGGACTTTCTAGTGACTACCCCAAGTTCTTCATTCCCCCACTGCTACATATTTCTGTTCACAGAAGGTCAGAAACTTGATTGTATAATTTTTATGCAATGTTTTCCTCTACATATTCCTTAACACAGAGAATTTTGGGAGAAAATGGGAAGAAAATGGAGAGTAAGAAGGACATTCAGCTTTCTCCTCACACACTCAATGCTGATGCCAAATTTCCAGCACAAAGCTTTAAATCATAGTCTCAGCTCACCTCATATCTGTACCAGGATGACCATGCAGGCAGAAAAGTTCATGCTTACTTTGTTTTTAAGTAAATGGCCAATGGCTGATTATACCATTACCACTTTCAGGCTATCTATAGTCTTCTTTCTATAAAATAAATAAATAAATAAATAAATAAATAAATAAATAAATAAGTAAAGTTATCAAATTCTTTGCCCTGAGCTCTGGTTGGTTTTGTTGGACCAGCATGCTTTGGTGTTCATGTGTTCAACATGTGATACAGTCCACGTAGACCTACTACATCATTCACGTTGAGGTTGGAACTCATGCTGATAATGATGTAGCCATCTATTTGTCCAGAGTACATTTAAGAATGTAACGCAGGAATGACCTGATGTTCTTCCCACATCGCAATCAGAAACCTGTTAAACACATGTTAAAGTCAAACTTGGATTAATTTTTAAGCTTTACTTACAGAGGTGAACTTTTGTAAATGACTGTTGAGTAGTGCAGATTTAAAAGCCACAGAATCACGTTAAAATGTGAGAAGCTTAAGTAGGACTCTCTAAAGAAGCCTGTGAGAGCTTCGGTGTGAACGGCCTTTTCTGTGTGCCTCCGTGTTCTTAACACGCTTTCTATTCTACCTCACCCCGATTCACCTAAAATTCCTTCCTGTGGATTAATCAAGGAAATAGCAGACCTGAGTTGAGGTCTCTATTGGGCAGAGATGTCCTTAGGCTCTCAGCAGCCATCCTCAGTAGAGGTATCGTAAATAAGTGGTTATATAACTCGCAGTTTGCATTTCCCAGTTCCTAGACAATGAATTGTTGCCACATATAATTTTCAAGAGGTATGGCATTTTTATTCTACTGTTTATATGTGAGATGACCCATTTTGAATTTCTGAAGGAAATATCTGTAATTAACTACACACTTTATTGATTTGACAACTCATTATTTTCATTTGAAATGGAATAAAAGGGAAGGGCATTTGCTTTACAATACAGAACTTGGGATTGAATAGCTCATGGTCTACTGGTTCATTTTTTAAATTGTTTAGTAACTAGTGTATTAAATTAGATTTTTAATTTTATTAATTCTTTGAGAATTCCAGACAATAGACATGATTATAGTCATCTTCCAGCTTCTCCCAGATACCCCTCACCTTCCTTACCTGTCTGACATTGTGTCTTCAATATTGTTTAATCCATCAAGTCTGGTTTGTTCTGCTTATATGGTTTTTTGGAGTCTGGCTACCCACTGGTGCATAGTTGACTTATTCAGGGTCACACCACTGAAGTAAACCTTTTGGCTAGGAGTAGATCTTAATGGCCTCCTTCCCCCTCATTGCTGGGATTTTGCCTGGCTTGGGCTTTTTCAGATTTTCTGCATGCTACCGTGATTACTGTGAGTTCTTATGTGTAACTGCCTTTTTTGTCTAGAAGATGCTGTTTCCTTCAAGATACCAACAACCTCTGACTCTGACCTTCTTCCCCATCTTCGACAATGATTCCCAAACCTTGAGCTAGTGGGTGTGATATAGACATCTTGTTCAAGGATGAATATTCTGCAGTTCAGTGGGTTCTGACACTCACATTAGAAGACTGGGATTTTAAATTGTCAAGTATATCCAACTTCTGTCCCCTCCAGAATTTCTTCTATATTACTATATTTAAAAAGTGCATTCTCATACTTAAATCACTTCTGTATTTCTACCTATAGTATGCTTGGGCATCTTTTGTTCTAATGCCATTTATTTGGTATGAATTTAATGTGTTCCATCTTTTTTTTGTTGTTGTTGTTTTTTGTTTTTTTTTTTTTGAGACAGGGTTTCTCTGTGTAGCCCTGGCTGTCCTGGAACTCACTCTGTAGACCAGGCTGGCCTTGAACTCAGAAGTCTGCCTGCCTTTGCCTCCCAAGGGCTGGGATTAAAGGCGTGTGCCACCACTGCCCAACAATGCTCCATCTTTGTAACAATCTAATTTAGCAGAATCTTCCCTCTCACTTTTCCACAGTTTCCTTTCTTTAAGTAATTCTAAGTTAAGTTTTCATTTTCATGGGGATGATTGCACGTTGATTTGCATCAAATTTCATCTGCATATTATAATATATGGCTCATAGTTATATAATAGTTATGAATTATAACTCTTTATAATGCTATACTAATATTAAAATAATCTTATAATTTAAATAATTTAGAGTTACATGGTAAAAGTTTATTTCTAGTATTTTTATATTGCATTTTACATGCTATTAAAATACAAAACATTTTAAAAATTGTGGAATCTGCTTTAATGAAATGTTATTCTTTTAAATTTTTATACATTCTTTTATTAAAATAGAATGACATCACTTTCTGCCTTTCTTCTTCTCCCTCCAGCCCCTGCCCCGTATCCATCCTCTAGCCCCTCTCATGTTACCTCATGGCTCTCACATTGATAGCTTCTTTTTCTTTAATTATTATTGACACATTCATGTATATTATGTATATGTCTTCACACATATGTAAATAGAACTGATAAATCTGTTTTGTTGTTTGTGTGCATATGATTCCCAGGCTGACCTCATTGTATTGGATAACAAATAAGGGGACCCATATTTTATTCATTTTCAGATTATAAGTTCCCTATTTTTGAAATATTCTTCCTTTTCTTTGTTAGTTATTCTATTAACTCAAGATTTCATGTCTTCTTGTCAATAAAGTTACATAATTCTCTTTGTAAAGAAACCACATGCTTGTTAACATCTCTTATACGTGTATTTTGTAGTTTTGAAGATTGTAAATAGTTCTCTCCTGCACTTTTTTATTACTGATTATTCTTCCAGGCACATAGACATGCTAATAATTCCCTGATGTAATTGGCCACTTAAATACAACCTTAGGAATTTTAATATCACATTATTTCATTTTCATGAGTGTTCTATAGTAAAAGTTCCATAATTTGGGCCAATGGTAGTTTTACATCCTTTTTATGTTTGAGACATGAACAAGGTTCACACCTTTAGAACACAGCTCATTTCTACTTGTTTATTTCCTCACAGCATGGAAGAGTGTGAGGCTCTGTGTAACCGGTTGGCCATAATGGTGGATGGCAGCTTCAGGTGTCTCGGGCCCCCTCAGCACATCAAGAACAGGTATTGAGTCTCTTTGTCTGTTTCAATGTTTCTTGTCAACCCAGCAGCATGATGCCCTGTTGTAACAAGGACTCTTTCCAAATTGTTTGGTCCAATTAATTTCTCTTGGCATTCAGTAGTGGATGAAGGTCCTGGGAAGCTTAGGGGCAGTTAAAATCACTATAATTATCAAGTCAAAGACACAGCAATTCCCAGGCAGTTTCCTTAAAACATTTTGCTTCCTTTTTCCCAGAAGGCACTGTGCCCTCGTTGTTTTGACAAAAATTGTGAAAAGAAGATGATTGCAGGGTTCAGATTAAGTCTAGAGGAAAAATGACCTCCTTGCTCACAGAGTGCTTCATCAAAGCATGGTACCACTCTATACATCAACCACAGTCAGAATGTCAGAATGCCTGCTTTACCATCAAATGTGTTTAGAAAGGTGTCTGACCACACAGGCAGGAGAAAAGGTCATTGTGGTTCCTCATTTTTATGGCTAATGAAGAACTAAAACCTTTTTCTTGTGTGTATGAATCTGTTAGATCTCTCCCCTATTAATCTTTCCATTTCTTTCTTTCACTTACTCCATGGAAACTTAATTTTTTTTCTGATGAGTTTCTGTGGACACTTGTTATAATGCTTGTATTTTGAAATGCCTTAAATAATTTTCCTTTACTTTTCTTTGTGTGTGTGTGTGTGTGTGTGTGTGTGTCTAAGAATATGGGCACATCTGTGTAAGGGTGTGTGCACACATGTGTAAGGGTATATGCATACATGTATGTAAAGGTGTGTGTAGGTGACTATGGGGCTAAAAGGGACATTGGATACTTTGGATTTGGAGATGCTGGTTTGGGTGACCCATTCAATGTGGGTGCTGGAATCTGAATTTTGGCATTCTTGTAGAAAGGTAAGATGTCCTGGCTTCTGGGACACCTCTCCAGCTCCACTGAATGATTTTTGAATCTTTAAATAATTTAATAATAATTTTTATAGAGAGAAATGTAGTCGTTTCCCTTTTTATTGAAAATAGTTTATCACACAATACATGTTGATTACAGTTTCCCCTCCCTCTATTCCTCCCAGATCCTCCCTGTTTTTCTCTCATCTTTCTATCTATGGAGTAATGTAGTCTTTCATGCTGATTCATTTTTTACTTTCATTTAATATTTTTAGGTTGGAATTATGCAATATTCTATAATATAGTAGTTTTATTTACCTGCTATGTATGTGTGTATGCACACACATGTAATGTGTAACTACATTTCTTTTGCAAAAACCATTATTACTCAGGAAGGGAATAGAATATGAGGGGTGGGTGACATGTTTCTAGTGGGTCCAAGTGGGGCAGTATGGTAAAGGATGGTCCACATTGCTGTATCTTATGCTTGTGTCAAATGCTCATCATTAGATAGATGAACCCATTAGAAGATATTGTTATTATGTGCTCTGCTAACCTTTATTAAGTATCATCAGAAAAAAATAACACTTCACACTCTGTAACTTTTATGAATGCTTGTATAAAGTTTTATATAGCCTGTTCAGATTGTCATGTGATTTATTAGTTCAAGTCCAGCTGTCTGCCTTTGGCTTCTTTGCTGAAGTTGGCCACAAACATCAGGGGGAAGAAGCTCATAGGAAGGGACAGCCACTAGCTAAAACTATCTGTAGTCTTAACAGTGTCTATCCATTCTAAATTTTGGTCCTGATAATGTGAGTTGTAGGTTGAGGCCAAATTGCTGGTGAATATAAACTAAAAAATTTATTCAGCAAAGCCTGGTTTGTGGTATAGTCACTAGGATATGAAAGTTAATACAGTTTTTAAGAATGCAGTTTATGCTCTTCCATAACAAATAAGCCTATAAGAAATAAACACATGCAAATACTATTGGGATGGAAACATAAGGAATTGCTCCTGTATTTCTATACCTTGGAGTCAGTAACACCATGTGAAATTGATGTGGAAAAGAAAAACCTATGTTGGGACCCTTCCTCCTCTACTTTATCCTTGCAAATAAAGGGATAGGTGTAGGTGTCAGTAGATTCATACAAGGAGCAAGGAGCTCACTCTTCTCATCCCTAGCCCACCTCCCTGACTCTGTAGGAGCAGATCCCAAGAACAGGGATATCTTCCAGCCTCAGTTGGTGGCAATGAATTTTCTGCCCAATCTGTGTTGGATCAAGTTGCTTATACAGTATCCCATTGCTATCCTGATTGTCCCTTCCACCATATATGTATGACTTCTTTCACTAAGATCTAAACACAGCCCACATGCACCCAATGATCAGAGAAGGTTCCCTGAGAATACATACCCATTCTTCTGCTGCTCTCTAGACACCAAATCTCACCTTGTTGCTTGTTCAGACCAGAATTTTGTTTCATATCTTAAAAGTTCTCCAGTTCAGGAATCAACACCATTGAAAAGATAATGTGTTACTCAACTTTCCCCAAATAGGGGCTACACAGGCCATGTGGGAGACCATGAATGTCACTCTACAAACAGTTAATGACATTAGAAAAAAATGTACACAAGGGCCCCCAATGTTTCCATTGGAATCAGGTGACATGGTTCAATTGGACATAGGATTAGGCAGACTATGGGATTTGGGCATAGGTAACTAGGTGTGTGGGGACCGTATTTTAAAGGGTAGATGAATGACAGCCTAGTTATGAAGTCCCAATTGGAAGCCAATGGGATGGTGGGCACTGCATTAGCTGGTTTTCTTATGAAATACATTTATAGGAGGACTTTGCTTTCTTTAAAAGCAACACTCTTGGATGGAAAGTTTATCTAGAATTAGTAAGTTCCCCCCTCCGACTCCTAACTTTAGCATCATAACACACAAAATAAGCATAATTACCTGTCCCAGGATCACTGAAACTAAGCCTCAGGGCCATTGATGTAGTGCCATCAGCTCTGCACTGCCCTATAAAGGTCACTGGTGATAATGTGTACAGAGGAAGTCAAGATGCTCAGACTTTGCAGAGGTCCTGGACTGCCTCTCCATTGTTTGGTGGAGTTTAATCTTTCTTACAGTAGTGACTGTCACCTCAGTGCCATTCTGAATACTATCTGTTTGCAACATGTATAGGTTATAGAGTTGTAGCACCAGAAATTGTGATTCTGGACTCAGAGCCACTCACACAGAACTCTGTGTTATGATGACCACTGCCTGTGGCAAAGGGCTCAGAAGAAAGGGCAATAGGGGACCTCCTAACTGAGGGTGTTTGTGGAACGCAAGCTCTTATTTTTACTCTGATGTTGGGTTTTACCCAAGTTATAATTTAGGAAATGTTATCGACATGAGGGCTTTCAGTAAATATGAAGCTATTTTGCATTTGACATTTAATAATTTCCTTAGCAAAGGGTCTGTAGGTTTTCTACAGCCTATATCCATTTTGGCACTCACAGTTTGAAGCATATGCATGCCAGGTGACATCACACAGGCTTACGGGGCATGGACCCTAGATATCCTACATACTGTGGCAATCTGAGCAGGAAGAGTACTTTAAGTTTTAGGAATATGGATGTCTCTCATACCTTGAATAATAGAAACACTTGGCAAAAGAAATATTAAATACTAGATTCCATTAGTTAAAAACCTGTGACTGGGGAATCTTAGGAGAGCGAGTAGAAAAAGAAATAGATATTTCAAAGTTGCCATGAAAGGAAGTCCTCAGGCAGAATAAACTTAAGATGGTTGTGCTGAATATTCCTGGGAGAGCTATGGGCGTTGGAGTCTTACTAGGTTTGTTCAAATGGCATTGCTTTCCTCGTAGATCAAACAATTCCTTTTAATGTGAAGTTGTCTTGTGCATATAAGATGCTTCACAGGTTCCACAGCCCTTGCAGCAGCCCCACCCAACTGCAACAAAAAAATGAAACCAATCCAAACAAAACAAAACAGAAACACTGACAGATGTCTCCCAGGCGCCCTCTTCAGGATGACCTTGGCTGTGTCATATAGTTCTTTATTCCATGTTCTCATAAAACATACAGATTTAGATCCGTCAAATTGGGAGGATGAGGACTCAGATTTCCAGAAGAGGATTGGGCAATGGTTCCTACCCTTCCTTACTTCTTGAGAGGAGAAAAGATCATGTCAAGAGAAAGAAATAAATGGATGTCTTTTTTCCACAGGTTTATCTTTTGTGGCCTGGGCTGATCTTGCTATGCAGAGCCTCTAGGGTCCTTATGAGAAGTACACCCTAGTGTAGCCCTTTCATGTGATTTAAGGATCCAGCCTGAAGCCAAAGGACTGTGCACTCTTAGCCAGGGTTTCTTGAAGGGTCCTTTTGTGCTCTTTTACGTCCATCTGGGGCTTGTTATGACTTACACTCTCTCCTGGACCTCCTTTCGCCATTGACTACTCAGTAGTTCCATCACAGATGCTCAGGGCCAGTCTTCCTCTCCCGATTCCCTGGCCTTGCTGGTACCCATCATTTTCCCTGGGTGCCTTTGCCTTCTCGTGGTAGAGTTGGCCTCCTTTTTACTTTTGGTATATGATTGCCTCTCCCTTCCAAGTGACCTACTTGATCAAGTTTAATTTCCTTGAATCTGCCTCCTTATAACTTGCAGCTGGCATGTTCCAGGAGAAGACAGGCTTTGCTCTTTATCTGTCTCAGCATTACTTTGTGCTCAGCATCTGTGTTATTTAATTCTGTTCTAGCACAGTGACAGTCTGTGCTAGAAGCCTTGGCTTAAGAATATGCAGGAGAGCTATACCAAGAGAAGCATACATGATTCTAAAATGTTTAAGCTTTGCTTCATTAACTGGGTTATATAGTCATGGAAATCACCCATCCTCTATTTTCTAAATACTGCTGTTGTGCTTTATTCTCAACCTCTGAGCTTTCATGGTATAGTTTTCTAAGTGTCTTTTTGATACTTGTAGGTAGATAAAAGTTGACTTGAACCTTAGAGTTTGAAAACCGAGATGTCTTCAAAGTGTTGTTTGCACTTACAAGCTGTGATCCAACGAAGTTCAAATTTAAAAATCATATGGTAAAGCTCTGTGGTGGT